TACCGACTGCACTGCACACAACTACACTGCACCCATCTACTCTGTTACCTAACTACACTACACGTGGCTGCTGTACGTGCGCGGCGCGGACGCCGTGCTGCGCGCTGTATCCGTGCGCCTGCACCACTCGTACGCGTCGCACCACGTCGGGCGCCTCGAGTGAGTACCGACTGCACTGCACACAACTACACTGCACCCATCTACTCTGTTACCTAACTACACTACACGTGGCTGCTGTACGTGCGCGGCGCGGACGCCGTGCTGCGCGCTGTATCCGTGCGCCTGCACCACTAGTACGCGCCGCACCACGTCGTGCGCCTCGAGTGAGTACCGACTGCACTGCACACAACTACACTGCACCCATCTACTCTGTTACCTAACTACACTACACGTGGCTGCTGTACGTGCGCGGCGCGGACGCCGTGCTGCGCGCTGTATCCGTGCGCCTGCACCACTCGTACGCGCCGCACCACGTCGTGCGCCTCGAGTGAGTACCGACTGCACTGCACACAACTACACTGCACCCATCTACTCTGTTACCTAACTACACTACACGTGGCTGCTGTACGTGCGCGGCGCGGACGCCGTGCTGCGCGCTGTATCCGTGCGCCTGCACCACTCGTACGCGCCGCACCACGTCGTGCGCCTCGAGTGAGTACCGACTGCACTGCACACAACTACACTGCACCCATCTACTCTGTTACCTAACTACACTACACGCGGCTGCTGTACGTGCGCGGCGCGGACGCCGTGCTGCGCGCTGTATCCGTGCGCCTGCACCACTCATACGCGCCGCACCACGTCGTGCGCCTCGAGTGAGTACCGACTGCACTGCACACAACTACACTGCACCCATCTACTCTGTTACCTAACTACACTACACGTGGCTGCTGTACGTGCGCGGCGCGGACGCCGTGCTGCGCGCTGTATCCGTGCGCCTGCACCACTCGTACGCGCCGCACCACGTCGTGCGCCTCGAGTGAGTACCGACTGCACTGCACACAACTACACTGCACCCATCTACTCTGTTACCTAACTACACTACACGTGGCTGCTGTACGTGCGCGGCGCGGACGCCGTGCTGCGCGCTGTATCCGTGCGCCTGCACCACTCGTACGCGCCGCACCACGTCGTGCGCCTCGAGTGAGTACCGACTGCACTGCACACAACTACACTGCACCCATCTACTCTGTTACCTAACTACACTACACGTGGCTGCTGTACGTGCGCGGCGCGGACGCCGTGCTGCGCGCTGTATCCGTGCGCCTGCACCACTCGTACGCGCCGCACCACGTCGTGCGCCTCGAGTGAGTACCGACTGCACTGCACACAACTACACTGCACCCATCTACTCTGTTACCTAACTACACTACACGTGGCTGCTGTACGTGCGCGGCGCGGACGCCGTGCTGCGCGCTGTATCCGTGCGCCTGCACCACTCGTACGCGCCGCACCACGTCGTGCGCCTCGAGTGAGTACCGACTGCACTGCACACAACTACACTGCACCCATCTACTCTGTTATCTAACTACACTACACGTGGCTGCTGTACGCGCGCGGCGCGGACGCCGTGCTGCGCGCTGTATCCGTGCGCCTGCACCACTCGTACGCGCCGCACCACGTCGTGCGCCTCGAGTGAGTACCGACTGCACTGCACACAACTACACTGCACCCATCTACTCTGTTACCTAACTACACTACACGTGGCTGCTGTACGTGCGCGGCGCGGACGCCGTGCTGCGCGCTGTATCCGTGCGCCTGCACCACTCGTACGCGCCGCACCACGTCGTGCGCCTCGAGTGAGTACCGACTGCACTGCACACAACTACACTGCACCCATTTACTCTGTTACCTAACTTGACCACATGCAACTGCTCTATTGCATAACTACACTGCACCCAACTACACTGTTACCTAACTACACTGCACCAAATACACTGCACCCAACTACACTGTTACCTTACTGCACTGTACCCAACTACACTTTTTTTTTATAGGATAAGGGTGACAAACGAGCACACAGTCCACCTGATGGTAAGTGGTTGCTGCGGCGCATAGACATCTACATCTATCCTCTATTACAAATCAAAATGTAGATGCGTTGTCACCCATGAGGACTAAGATGGAATGCCTCATTTCCAGTAAAAAGGGCCTCCGGCCACCTGCACTCACCAAGCGAAACGCAGAGGTAAACCTCTACTTCACGCTGGTTTTCTGTGAGGTCGTGGTACCACCCCGGTTCGAGCCGGCCCATCCGTGCGACAGCAAAAGCTGCCGCGTGGCTCTACCACTGTTACTTACACTACACTTTCCTAACTACACTGCACCCAACCTCTCAGTTACCTAGCTGCACTGTACCCAACTACACTGCACCCAACTACATTATACCCAAATGCACTGTACCCAACTACACTTACCTAACTACACTGCACCCAACCTCTCTGTTACCTAACTGCACTGTACCCAACTACACTGCATCCAACTACATTATACCCAACTGCACTATACCCAACTACATTATACCCAACTGCACTGTACCCGACTACACTTTTTTTTTATAGGATAAGGGTGACAAACGAGCACACAGTCCACCTGATGGTAAGTGGTTGCTGCGGCGCATAGACATCTACATCTATCCTCTATTACAAATCAAAATGTAGATGCGTTGTCACCCGTGAGGACTAAGATGGAATGCCTCATTTCCAGTAAAAAGGGCCTCCGGCCACCTGCACTCACCAAGCGAAACGCAGAGGTAAACCTCTACTTCACGCTGGTTTTCTGTGAGGTCGTGGTACCACCCCGGTTCGAGCCGGCCCATCCGTGCGACAGCAAAAGCTGCCGCGTGGCTCTACCACTGTTACTTACACTACACTTTCCTAACTACACTGCACCCAACCTCTCAGTTACCTAGCTGCACTGTACCCAACTACACTGCACCCAACTACATTATACCCAAATGCACTGTACCCAACTACACTTACCTAACTACACTGCACCCAACCTCTCTGTTACCTAACTGCACTGTACCCAACTACACTGCATCCAACTACATTATACCCAACTGCACTATACCCAACTACATTATACCCAACTGCACTGTACCCGACTACACTTACTTAACTACACTGCACCCAACTACTCTGTTACCTAACTACAGTGCACCCAACTACACTACCTAACTGCACTGCACCCAACTATACTTACCTAACTACGCTGCACCCAACTGCACTGCACCCAACTACACTGCACCCAACTTCACTGCACCAAACTACACTGTAACCTTACTAAACTGCACCCAATTACCCTGTTACTTAACTAGACTGCACCCAACTACACTACCCAACTGCACTGCACCCAACTATACTTACCTAACTACACTGCACCCAACTACACTGCAGCCAACTACTCTGCATAAACTACACTGTAACCTTACTAAACTGCACCCAATTACCCTGTTACTTAACTAGACTGCACTCAACTACACTTATTTAACTACACTGTGGTCTTACTACACTGCACCCAATTACTCTGTTACCTAACTACATGGTACCCAACTACACAGTTATCTCACTACATACCCAACTATACTGTTATTTAACTACATACACTATTGCCTAACTACACTGCACCCAACTTATCTGTTATCTAACATTTATTTTACATTGCACCCAATTTCACTGTTACCTCACTACACTGCATCCGGCTACACTGTTACCTAACTACGCTGCACCCAACCTCACTGTTACCTAACTACGCTGCACCCAACCTCACTTTTGTCTAACTATATTGTTAACTAACTACTCTGACCCCACCAACACCTACCTAACTATACTGCACCCATCTACACTGCACCCAACTACACTGTTGTCTACATTGCACCCAACTACACTGCACCCAACGAACCTGCACCTAACTAGACTGCACTGTGCAATTTGTGTTGTGTGAAAACATGACAAAAATTTAAATTTTTTTACTAAGGAAAATTCTGAGGTCAAAGCCGCTTAAAGTATAAGGCGTAGGGCGCGTTCTCACGACACGCACCCGCTACGCGCACGCCACGCGCGTCAGTACCCGCGTCTAACTCGCTTTAAAATTGGTTGCATATAATTTGAGTCTTAAGACAAATCAATAAATCTGAGATTGCATTTATCGACGTTCAACCGCGTGTGCGTGTCGTCGGAACGCGCCCTTAGGCTAGGTAGATTTTTAGTAATATGAGACTTAAGATATGACGACTCGATAGCGCTTTGGCTAAACGTTTCGAACGCTGCTGACTGCGGATTCGAAACCAACACGATAATATTAGTTTGGTACACAAACAAAGGTTCCGGTTCTGGATGTTTGTCCATGTCATATATTATCATATATTTGAAAAGCCTCAATGATATAGAAAAATTTGAAGAAAACATTTTCCCCAAAACTAAGGCTGATATAGAAGGGGTAATGCTGCTGAATAAAGAAGGATAAACAGTTAGTGCTAACTAGTTTACCACAAAAAGACTTAAAACAAATATCATTATAAAGGGCTAAGAGAGTTTATCACTCCATATCATGCGCTAGATGTCATAAGAAGCGACTATGGGAAACGTTCGAAAGATCTTATAGCCTCCCGTACAGCTATTTCGTATTTGTCAGACTTTTTTTTATTGTAGAATAAGGGTGACAAATGAGCATACAGCTTGATAGTAAGTGGATGCTGTGACCCATATACATCTATATTCATCCTCGATTCAGGATCAAAATGCAGATGCGTTGTCACCCGAGTTGTCTAAGATGGAATGTCTCGTTACCAGTAAAAGGGTCTCCAGTTTTATACACTTACCATACGAAACACAGTAGCATCAAGCTATTGCACGCTTGTGTTCTATGAGAACGTGGTTCTTTCCCTGTCGAGTCGACTCATTTGTATCATTATATCGCTGCAGCGTGTCTCAACGAACTCACTCTATGATTGTTTCTGTGGTTTGTTGCGTATACATAAATAAATAATCCATTCGCAGTAAACCTCCATTCCACCTGGCTCGTCGTGGCTGGGGAGAGTTCCCGGCACATGTGGAGATGCACTTTGCGATGCCGGAACGCAACCGGCCCGCATCCGTGGAACACACCATCCGGCTAGACCGACACTGCACCGGCTTGCAAACACTCGGTATGTTTAATTTTTTAAGTGAAAACTTCTTTAGATGTGTTGGGATATAAACTCGATGAAACGAAAAGGCGACACTAAAAAGAAACAAACGTATACATCTATAGGATTTCGCCTGTGAGAGAATGAGATAGAATACAGTATACTAAGTTTTCTTTCATCTTGGTCTCCTTTTCTGAACCTTTCACTTAAACGCGTGTGAACTGCACACATGTTGATTCTTATAATTAATGGAATCAGGCGTTACTTTGCGGAAATCCATTATATAAAAGCTTTTAGAAAAATTTACTTCGCAAATATCCGCGTTATATACTAAAATGATGTGTCTTAGCTAGTATGAAGAGCACCTCCCGCCCTCCCTCAATTGCGTGCACTATCCCCGTCACCACTAATCCCAGCACCGCTACTCCCAACACCACTACACTAGGCAAGATACACCACTGACGATAATACGACACGTGTTTCGCCTCTACACGAGGCATCCTCAGGTGATATAGACTCTACGGTGGCTAAATATTTTGTTGTCTGTATAAAAGGCACTTGTTTTGGCTCGTCGCTCACTTAGCGGTTAGCCACCGTAGAGTCTATACCACCTAAGACACATCATTTTATTTTATAACGCGGATATTTCCGAAGTAAATTTTTATAAAAGCTTTTATATGTTGATTCTTACTTTTTGGAATCATTCACCGACTCGGCTAGTACTCAAAACTCAGGGTGTACACGTCCCGCGTCGTGTTTGTTTTTGTTATGTTATAATAGAAAAAAGTGTAAATATGGTTAACTGTTCTATGTGAACGAACAATAATAGAACATATATATATATACAATTAATAATTATTATTAATAGTTTATGCAATAATACGAGTACACACATCAACAGAATCTAGGGATACCTTAATCCGAAATTATTTACGACCTTATAGTTTAAAATCTGTTTAATTTCCATAAAAAGTTTATTTACAGATTGAAAAATCTGTTATTCTATTTAATTATTATTAATTATTATTCTAAAATTAAAAAGGTAAATAAAAAAAAACAAAAGAAATAAATACGGCCGCTAAATTGTTAGTAATTCGTTACTTCAAGGAAAATTAAAATTGTTCTACTGATATTAATTAATTTAAAGGGATTAGATTGTTTTCTTTTTTATTTTATTTTTTTATTTAACGTGCCGCGTGAACTTTAAGAGCAATGTCACGTCGCCATTTGAGTCGAGATGAAATGTTACGAGCCGTGAGTATGTTAGAAAATAGTGCTATTTAACGCGTCGTTGCTGATGCCCTACACACCAGCCAAAACGTGATGTCAAAGTTGTGGTCACGTTATCGCAGTGCTGGGGATGTGGCTGAACGGCACACGGGTAGATATCGTGTTACTACGCAAGAGACAAGATTGATTTCTCCAAATGACCGCCAGAAGACAACCCAATATCACAGCTATGCAGCTACTACAAAGGTTCCAGGAGGAACACCAGCTGCTGGTAAGTGGCCAAACCGTGCGATGGAGGTTGCATGAAGTTGGTCTTCATGCTTGAAGACCGCTAAGTGTTCCAGCATTGCGACGTGGCAATCGCGGTCGGCGGATTTTGTGGGCTCGGGAGCATTTACCATGGAGTGACGAACAATGGTTTCTGGTGCTGTTCACCGATGAATCCCGCTTTGGGTTTCATCCGGATTTATGAAGAATACGCGTTTGGAGAACACCAGGGAGAGTTAACCGTCTATGGCACCCTCAGGAGGTCCACTCATAATAAGGCGGGACAAAGACAATCATGGTGTGATTGTCCCGCCTCGACGAACCCAGCTCGTTTGTATCCAAGGCAACCTGATTGCACAAAAATACCACGAGGAGGTAGTAGAGTCAAATTGGCGTGCTCAGCAGAGCGAGACAGTATTTCATGGCGGCACATCGCTTGCAACTTTACAAAGCGCAAGTTCGGCCTTACATGGAATACTGTTCTCATGTCTGGGCCGGGGCACCCCAGTGCCAGCTCCTTCCACTTGACCGCATCCAGCGCAGAGCGGCTCGAATCATCGACGACCGAGTTCTTTCTGATCGGCACGATACACTGGCACCTACACAGTGCTGTGGATGTTGCATCCCTTTGTATTTTCTATCGAATTTACCACGGGGAGTGCTCTGAGGAATTGTTTGGATTAATTCCAGCCGCCAAATTTCATGAACGCACATCACGTCAAAATTCACGATACCATCCTCACCATATGGATGCTTGGCGGTTCACGACTGTGCGTTTTACTAGGAGTTTTCTTCCTCGTACAACTTGTCTGTGCAACTGTTTACCATCGGCGATTTTTCCGGACCGATACGACTTAGGGTCCTTCAAGAAAAGAGCTTACACCTTTCTAAAAGGCCGGCAACGCATCTGCAATACCCCTGGTTCCCCTGGTGTTGCGGTTGTTCATGGGCGGCGGTAGTCACTTACCATCAGGTAAACCGCATGCTCGTTTGCCCCCTCTTCTATAAAAAAAGAGTCTGTTATTGTCCCACACAGAATCCAAATGGAACAAGAATTTCTACTTATGCACGATCACCGCGACTACAATATTCAAGTTATGAATTGGCCTGCACAGTCGCACGACTTAAGTCCTATCGAGTATGCCTGGGACATGTTACAACGAAAAACTTTGAGAGATTTCGGTGTGCGACGAGGCGTTGTCGTGGTGAAGGAGGATCCTACTGCGAGGTCGTTTCTCCCGAACTTTTTCCAAGACAAGTGGCAAACAATTGTTAGTGTACCACTCTGCAGTAACTGTTTTTCCATCCTCTAAAACAATTGTTGCGTAATGACCTGTCCTTCCGAAGAATGGGGCCACCATCTTTTTTCCCACGCTTCGACCTCTCTTCACTTGAAATCCATAAGCCAATTGCTCAATATAAAAAAAACAAAGTTCTATTAATTTTCCTGCAATGCTTCCCGAGCTTTTCATTATAACGATGGATCTTAACCGTGAACATTTGCGCGTATATTATAATATATTATGACTTTAATTATGGTTTAACCGAACAATTAAGTTTACAACAGTTACAATCAGCATTAGGGGACGCAGCTCCACCACGCGTAACAATTTTTAGGTGGTTTGCTGAATTCAAAAGGGGTAAAATGAATTTTAAAGATGACGAAAGAACCGGAGTCCCGCAAACAGCAGTAACGGCAGAAAATGTATGGACTACTGAAATGTTAGTGCGAGAAGACACACGAAACACATATACGGACATCGAAAAGATTGTAGGCATGAGTTCGGGGAGCATTCATAGTATCCTACATCAACATCTTGGAGTGAGGAAGCTTTGTTGTTGATGGATCCCTCGTTTGCTCTTCGAAAGCGAAAAACAGACTCATGTGGATTAGTACCATGAAATGCGTCTACGTTTTGAAAACGGGGCATCTAGGCATGTTTCAGAAATCGTTACTGGTGACGAGACATGGAATCTATCAATATAATCCAGAAAATAAAAGGCAATCATAGGTAATCTACTCAGAAGGACAGTTACCGACAAAACTGCAAAGACCTCGCAACGTCGGCAAAAAAAAATGGTGGCTAACATAATGATTTCTTATATTTACGCGAAAGTCGAAACGAATCGAAACGTCGGGAATATAAAATAAGTTAATACATGCGATAAAATCCGTACAATTAGTTTTATTTAAAAAATGGTGGCTAATTTTTTTTCGCAGAGCGGCCATTAGTCGACGTCAATGCTGGAAAATCAGTCTGTCAGTTACCTCTGAATGGTATACTACGTAACGTAACGTACGTACAAGAGTCAAAGAAAAAATAAAAGACTGCCTACGAAGAAGCGATTTCCGACCTGTCAGATCAAGACTGGCAAAAGTGTTTTCAGAGTTGGTTTAGGCGAATGGAACTTTGTATAGAGCATGATAGAGAATATTTTGAAAAGATGTAAAATAAATATTAATAGTATCTAGAATACTTTTTATATATCTCAAAACTTATTGAGTGACCTACGCATATCGTTTACAAGGGGCCAGTTCTAAAAACTTTCAGTATCGCCCTCGTATGAACAATCGATGTCGATGTATAATTTATGTAAGAGGTGGCAACTCTGATTATTAATGATTAGATTTTATAAGGTTTTTTCAATTTTAATTAAAATTATGGATTTTTAATTATCCGAAATAAAGAATTTATTATTATTATTATTATAAGAAGAAATGAAATTTTTTATCATACTAATTTTGTACGGCGATTAAGAAAATTAACATTTATATTTAAAACATAAAAATTACGAAATGTTTTTTATTTTTTATTAGAGAGCTTACCTATCATTCTTCCATTTACTATATCAGATTTTTTTTTGTAGATTTTTAGATATTTGATGTAATATAAAATATCCACTGGATTCTTATGATTATTGTAAATTGTTCAAAACAAATAAAGTTAATTAAATTATCCCCAAGACTACACTAGATAATTGTATTTGATTATTATTTTTTAATTTTTAATATGGCAGATAGATATCCTACACATATATGTACGTCAACAAATTTAGCATTTGTTGAATTGCAAACATTTTGCGAATATTTTGATTTTGAAATAATCATTCTTAATATTGATTGTAATATATTAAAACGTGTGTAAGCCATGTGAGTGCTTTCTATTAGATCATTTAAGAAAAAATTTTATATTACATTTAAAATATACCATTTTCAACTAAAAGGCACAACAAATTATTCAAAAACAAAAAATGAAAATATAATATTTAGAGAAAGCAGTTTGTGAAAAATACTCTATCATAGGTTTTTTTTTTATAGGATAAGGGTGACAAACGAGCACACAATCCACCTGATGGTAAGTGGTTTCTGTGGCCCATAGACATCTACATCTATCTTCGATTACGAATCAAAATGCAAATGCGTTGTCACCCGTGAGGGCTAAGATGGAATGCCTCGTTTCCAATAAAAAGGGTCTCCGGATCTCTACACTCACCATACGAAACAGCAACGTAATGCTGCTATTTTACGCTGGTATTCTGTGAGAGCGTGGTCCTTCCTCGGTCGAGCCGACCCATTCGTACTACAACCATAAATAGCTGCAGCATGGCTCTACCACGTATAAGAACATACAAGTACATAATAATAAGCTGATAAACGTTTTGTTTATTTAATATAATTCTCCTGTGTCAACCCTACCAAAATAGGTAAGAATTTTGACAACTCCTTAGAAGCTTTGCCTCTGTACGAGTTTTTTTACTCATGTGCCGCCACTACATGGTAATTTCTGAGTATATTGTTGAAACAAATAGTCGTTTAATTCTTGGTATTTTGATTTTAGGCGCTGAAACAGTTGTAGATGTGTGGCTGTACAGCACACCAGAAATGCTGGAACATGAATACAAAGAAGACATTCCATCTACCTTAGCGATAGATACAAATGAAACACAAGAAGCAGAAAAATCATCCAGTGAAGAACATCAAAAACAAAATCCCAATGAAATCCCTAACATTATTAATGATTTAGATCATATTGACAACGTAAAAACGGGGGAAAACAATGACGCTGAAAAAGTAAATGACAGTTGGCTAGAGTTCTTTTCTAAAGACACCACGGTGTTAAATGTTGACGAGATGTTTGTGAAAGACATTAAAAAAGAAGGAATAGATTACACTGATCTTGAAGCTGCAATCGACACCTCTATAATTTCGAGGACCGATGAATCTAACACCGTTATAAATAATTCTATTTTATATGATCAGCCCTCCAAAACACCTGATTGCACAGATTATAAAATAAACGAATCCACCGAAGATTTGCCCAGTGAGATTCTAAATCAGTCTGTATGTTCAAAGAAAAGAATAGTGAAATATATTGATCCTGCGACCGGGAAAATATACTATTTGGAAATGGATAGAGATCTAGATTTAACAAAAGTTCAAGAAATCGTAATAAACTCTGAAGGGAATGTAAAGACGGCAAAAATAAGCCCAATTAAGTCGAATGGCTTGAAACACGTGCGAAACTCGAAACACAGGGAGTCACTGTTAAGGCCAGAAGTTAGAAGTTTGGTAAGAAAAGAAACGAAAACTGATAACTGCAGAGCCTTGAACAATTATCCACACATAGAAAATGATCATTGTTATTTAGCGGCACCGAAGAATGATCGCACAGATACCGAGAATGAGGAAGAAAATGATGAAGAAATGCCAATGGAAAATCAAGTTAGTGGCGAAAAAGTAATTTCAACAGATGGAAAAGACCTCTATGAAACTCTTCGTGGAGATGTACGAAGGTTTTCAAGCGTTAGAATAGCAGCGAACTACCTATTGAAGAAGATTCCTTTGATCACTGATAAGGCAAAAGATCCAGACTACGTGAAATACTTTCCGTTTGTTGTCGAAAATGACGAGAAATACTGGAAGTTGGACTTTGCTAAGAGGAGAAATATTGAAGTAAGTAATTTATTATAATATTCATTAATTGAATTTTGAAAATAAAGATGCACAAAAAATTTTCTAGAAGCATTTTTAAAGGCTTAAAATCGAACTTCATATTGAATGAGCTAGCTTATATTGAGGAATGTAAAAATAAACCTTAATTGACTTGGCCTAATTTATAAAAATAAAAACGGTTGTCATTCAATTTGCAGTGTTCGCGTTAATATAAGAGATTATCGAACTCCATGTTGTTTTAGTAACATTTTTATTTAAGACCGTTTGAAAAATAAAATGTTTTGGCTTCCGATAGGTGGTGCTGTAATCGTCTCGTTTACGCCAGATGTAAAATATCAGATCGGCGATACTGTAGCCTCAAAGGTGCTCACATCTGGAACTGCATCGTCAGTTCACCTGCCAACCGTGACCATTAAGGGAAATCTTTGCTGTGCAACACAGGCATGCTTAAAAATAGAAACAGATTTTTTTTATTCAGTATAGATTATAAATAATACTTATTTATCGTCACTCTTTAAGTTTAATTCACCACTGGGTCAGAGAAAACCTCTGTTCTCGGATGAACCAGCAAGAAAGCCAATGGGTCCTTTTTTGTAAAAAAAAAGAAATTATATATGTTACACAATTAACAAAACACATAAGAAATAACTTGCTAGCGATCACCTCACTCCTAGGGTTTATTATCATTTACAAATTCCTTAATATTTTATTAACCCGTTTTATTTTATACGAACTTGCTTAATACAGTTTTTGAACTTGGAGAAGATCAAATATTGTATATTTTCTGAGATTTTGTTGTAAAAGCTTATATATACATCGCCCCAAAAATGAATTACTGACTTGTTGGATTTCAGTAACTAGTGTCAGGACCAGTCAGGACAGAATTACGCACCTTAGCAATTTTAAATTCTTAAAAATTTTAACAGTGGTAGAGCCATGCGGCAGCTTTTGCTGACGCACGGATGGGCCGGTTCGAACCAGGGTGGTACCACGACCTCACAGAAAACCAGCGTGAAGTAGAGATTTCCCTCTGCGTTTCGCTTGGTGAGTGCAGGTGGCCGGAGGCCCTTTTTACTGGAAATGAGGCATTCCATCTTAGTCCTCACGGGTGACAGCGCATCTACATTTTGATTTGTAATAGAGGATAGATGTAGATGTCTATGGGCCGCAGCAACCACTTACCATCAGGTGGACTGTGTGCTCGTTTGTCACACTTATCCTATGAAAAAAAAATTTATTATCTTATGTTGTATAACCAGTAGCTGGTGCTGTTGGGATTGGCCCGTTATTGTAGTGACTCTGCTATGTTCACTGAGGCACATATGGATAGCTTTCATGCCATTATACGTAAAAGGTCTGCTGAGTCGAATGCGCAGCTCTAACATCAATATCCTGAACACACTTGCTGATAGGCGGGATTCAGCCATTATGAGGCACTGGTTTTGTAATCCTACATATAAAAGTAAATAAATAAGGTAAATGTAGTGCACGCGGGATGTTTAATGTGTTGGGTTAAAAATATAAAAAAAGTAGTAACACTAGTTTATAAGAATATATTATTATTATACCAAAATCTCTATGGATTAAGTCTGAATAAAATTATTATTATTATTATTTAACTGTATACATTTGTTCATTAAAAAAAAATGGGAGATGCTCGTGTTCTGTAATGACTTTACATGCTGAATATGTCTGGTGTTAAACGGAATAGTTATACTGCTAAAATTAAAATTATATCTTTATTTAAATCGGGTAGTACATTAGACCTCGCCAATTTTAGATCAATTTCTGTACTACCAACATTTAGTAAAATTATTGAAAAAATAATTTTAGATCAGATGTTAAGTTTCTTTAATACTAATAAATTGCTACATAAAAATCAATTCGGTTTTACAAGGGGTCGCTCGACAACTGACGCTGGAGTTGATCTTATTAAACTTATTTTTTGTGCATGGGAGATTTCTGAGGATACTTTGGGTATATTTTGTGACCTTTCCAAGGCCTTCGACTGTGTTCACCATAAGACATTAATCAGGAAGCTACAGTACTATGGTGTCAAGAACACAGCGCTTAAACTTATTATTTTATATTTAAGTAATAGAATGCAGAAGGTTATTATCAATGGTAAAAGTTCTTCCGGGTCACCTGTACTAATGGGTGTTCCTCAGGGCTCCATTCTGGGCCCATTCCTGTTTTAGTGTATATTAATGACTTGCCTTCTCTTGTAGGGGATAATCATGATATAGTATTATTTGCTGATGATACTTCCTTGATTTTTAAACTTAAACGTCAATCATTTAAATGTGACGAAGTGAATAATGCTATATTAAAATTAGTGCATTGGTTTAACGTTAATAATCTACATTTAAAACATATATAAAACTAATTGTGTTAAATTTACAACAACGAACGTTAAAAATCTGAATACCAATGTGTTTTTAAATTGAGAGAAACTGAGCCCTGTTGTATCCACTGTTTTTCTTGGCATCATTCTCGACGCAAAACTTCAGTGGGGCCCCCATATATCCAAATTAGCAAGCAGACTAAGTTCTGCAGCCTATGCTGTAAAAAAGATTAGAGGTCTCACTAGTGTCGAGACAGCTAAATTAGTTTATTTCAGTTATTTCTATAGCATAATGTCTTATGGGATTTTGCTATGGGGAAATACGGCTGATTCAGAAACTAGTTTTGTTTTACAGAGTAGGGCCATTAGAGCTGTTTACAATATAAAACCGAGAGAGTCTCTTAGAGATAAATTTAAAGAAATAAATATATTAACTTTGGCCTCTCAGTATATTTACGAAAATTTAATGTATGTTCACAAAAACAAAGCTAGTTTTAGTAAAAAAAGTGATATACATTCTGTAAACACTAGGAACAAACACAAGCTAGTGATACCAGTTTCTCGACTCCAGAGTCAGTAATTCATTCTTGGGGCAATGTATACGCTCTTACAACATGGTCCCGGAAAGTGTACAGGCTCTCTATTACCAAGTTTAAATGTTTTGTTAATCTGAAACTGTATAAAAAAGGTAATTATAGTATAAATGAATACATGGTAGATAATAACCCCTGGGAATGAGGTGGTCGCTTCCAAGCAGTTTCTAAAATAAATTTTGTAAATTGTTTGTAAATATTTATACTTATTGTAAAATTTATTTAAAAATAAAGTCCCGCTGGTTCTTTCTAGGACAGAAGGTTTTTTTCGACCAATGGTAAGTAAAACATGACTTTCAATAAGAATTACACATGTAATCTATATTGAATAAAAAATTATTCTATTCTATTCTATTGCAGTCTTTGGTTAGGCATGAGAACATTTTAGCACACTCGCCTCTTACGATATCTTCATGATACATAATACTTTATATTTCCTTATACATTTTTAATATTAATGTGTAATAGGCGTTGTGTAGTTGTACTTGTTGTTGCATATTCGTTCGTACATTACTCACTAGAGGAATCTTTACCTCAAAACAGCTTCTTGGATTTAGTTTTTCTTTTAGTTCTGTAGTTATAAGTTATTTAGTCTATAATATCTTTTGTAACATGTTTCTTTCTTTCCGTGTTTAAATGCTTCCTAATCCCCTGAATATTATGTTCTTAATTATGTTTTTTGCGTTTCAGTGGTCCAGAGCAAAACTTATCAACAAACTATTAAAAGAAAACCTAAGAACAGATGAACAAATATGGCGGACAAAACAAATACTAATATACTCCAGGTTACACGGGTTTTATCCAATCAGAACGGAAAATATACCCCAGCAATTGGACAAAAGTAATGAGGTGTGGTCGATATGGAATTTGAATGATGAATCTAGACAAACGGAAACTGAGAAAAGTGAAACTTGTCCAAACCCCGATTTCAATACATTGACACTATTTGATAGTGAAGAGTTACTTGGTAACACTTCCCTATTAGAGTCTGTAACTCAATCAGACTCCGATGAGGAAATTGACATTGTAGGGAGTGAAACTAAAGTGAAAGTGAAAAGTGAAGTGGTTCCTGAGACAAGTTTAGAAGTGTTGCCAGTTGAGAGTGAAGAGGACAGATTAAGGTTTATGTTTATAGAGAAAAAGTGTGCAGACATTGGGATAGAGTTGAGAAATGAGGATATCGGTAATGGATATTCATATAGGTGAGTAATTTTTTAAAATAATATAATAGTGCGAAACAAGCTGCACCTGATGATGATTCAAAGTAACCTGCCTGCAATAGGAAAAAAAAGTGTACCTGTTTTTCAACGAAGAGCGATATCTAGTATTTTTAATATATTTGTCTTTATTATGCAAGCCACCAAAAGGGTAGAACAATGTCTGCTAGGCTGGCTGGTTTAATCCTAGAACACTAGCAGATTTGCACTTTTTAACATGATTTTAACATATTAAAAAAATTCAATGGTTTTAAATATACATACATTTAATACGTGGTAGAGCCATACTGCAGCTAGTAGTATAGTTGTAGCATGAATGGGTCGCCTCGACCAGGGAAGGACCACACTCTCACAGAATACCAGCGTAAAATAGCAGATTGACACTGCTGTTTCGTATGGTGAGTGTAGAGAACCGGAGACCCTTTTTACTGAAAACGAAGCATTCCATCTTAGTCCTCACGGGTGACAATGCATCTGCATTTTGATTATTTATTCAGGATAAATGTAGATGTCTATGGGTCCACTTACCATTAGGTGGACTGTGTGCTCGTTTGTCACCCTATCCTATAAAAAAAATACATTTTTTGAGTTGCAAATGTGCACTCAGTCTACCTGATGGTAGATGGATGCTGTAGGTACATTTATTCTTGATTAAGAATCTAAATGTAGTTGTGTTGTCACACCTGAAGACTAAGATAAAATAGCCTGATAACCAGTTAAAAGGCTCCCCAGTTCTCTACATACACAAGTTAATTTTACAAAAGATGCAATGTTCTGTACTGTTCCCATCTCTGGGCTGGGGCTCCCCAGTACCAGCTCCTTCCACTTGACCGCATCCAGCGCAGAGCGGCTCGAATCGTCGACGACCGAGTCCTTTCCGATCGGCTCGATTCATTGGCACTGCTAAGAGATGTTGCATCTCTTTGCATTTTCTTTCGCATTTACCATGGGGAGTGCTCTGAGGAATTGTTCGGTTTAATCCCAGCCGCTAAATTTCACGAACGCACATCACGGCAGAACTCCCGATACCATCCACACCATCTGGATGATTGGCGGTCCACCACTGTGCGATATAGAAGATGTTTTCTTCCTCGCACAACTTCCTTGTGGAATAGTTTACCACCAGCTATTTTTCCGGACCAATACGACTTAGGGACTTTCAAGAAAAGAGCCTACTCCTTTTTAAAAGGCCGGCAACGCATCTGCAATACCCCCAGGTTCCACTGGTGTTGCGGTTGTTCATGGGCGGCGGTAGTCACTTACCATCAGGTGAGCCGCATGCTCGTTTGCCATTCGCCTATAATAGAAAATGTTTTATTACTTATACGTAAACTAACCATTACCCTGAATAATTTCGCTGCAGGATATTGGTCTCTCCCATTGTAGGCAGGATTTGCCTTGATCGTCACGTTTGGCAGACGAACGAAGCACTACACACTAAGCACTACTCTAAGCCCTTGTTTTCTTCATCTTTGTTTTATTTATCTATATCTCGAAAGAGGCTATGTGGGCTTCATTTAGTCCACAGTGCTCTGTTTTCTTCCCGGTTAGTGACACTAGAGCAGTGGTTTTCAGTTAATTTTTGCTGTGTACCACTTCGAAAATGAACTTAATCTCGCGTACCCTTTATTGCCGAAATAATCATTGAAATGTTATAACGTAATTTTTTCGTTATTTAATAACTTATCAATAATGAAAATCACATCAGCTATTTAAGTTCAATGGGACAAATGTAAATATGCAATTTGGCTATTTGTATATAGTTATACTTACTGTATAAGGTATAGGGTGACGGTGTAGTGATGTTGTTAGAAGAGCCACTACCTCATAATATCATCCCATGGGTGTCTTAAGGTGGCACAAGTCGCGGGCTCGAAGTCGCTGGTGGGCGCGGCCAAAAAGCACACTGTCTCACCTGGCATCGTGCCCGACAGAGATAGTATCAGTGATGAGCATATCGACACTAGTATTCACGCACGTCTTGTTCGTGCGGCGTTCCGAACTGTTAGAATAAAAACGAAGTTACATGAACACGATGCAACATCTATACTAATATTATAAAGCAGAAGAGTGTTTTTGTTTATTTAAACATGCTAATCTCTGGAACTACAGTCCGATATGAAAAATCTTTTTTTGGATATTATAGCCAGATTCATGTTGAATAGTATAGGCTATATCCACTCGTCTGTCGCGGCCATTTTGGCCAATATAGCCCATCTGTCGAGCACTTCCTGAAGTACTTCCAGACTACTTCCCGCTGTTCATTAAAATGACTATTTCCAAGACATTTTGTATTAAAGGTATATTAAAATCATATATCAATGGAAACTTTATTAAATGAGCTATCAAATTATGTATAACCTAAATATAGGTTTACTTGGAAAGTGATACTAATTCGGAAGTGAAAGTACGAAAAGTGTCTTTCCTCAATTTTCTGCATTGAAGGTGTAATAATTATAAATAAAAGCCTTTATTCCAAGTACTATTTGTTTTACTTGTACGTCAAAAGCATATTTAACAATAAATAATTAAAACAAAGAAACTCCTTCATACATTTTTTGATCACGACAAGGTCGAGAACAATGGGCCTCACTTAGCTCTACTCGAAATCGGGACAAAAAATTGGGATGTTTACAATTCAAATCCGTATTGTGACCTTTAGACTGGACTTTTATTACATCCTTTTACTATTCTCTTAATTACAGTGAAGTTAGAGAGAGATAGGATTAGTAGAACCGATATACATTGATCTCTAAAGCTTCGCGGTAAAACGACGCCAGATTATGGTGTTTGACAGATGCGCATTTTATTTGACACGCCAGAATATGGCGTTTGGACAGACGAGCGGATATAGCACTAGGCTATATATCTCAGCTAGCCTATATTTATTAAGCAAGTCAGAAGAAAAAGCGCTCCCAAAATGATTTATCCGCGTACGCTGGTGTTATTTTTCGGGATACGTAAATACAATGTTCTAGAAAAATATAGATCTTTACTTCGTCTAAAAAAAAGTCCACGATAGAATGTTATCTTTTTAATGCATAAGTTTGTATCTTTATTTTATTTTTATTTGTCTTTATTATTTTTATTTTTTATTTTAGTGCACCCTACCCATTGTTCTTTTTCTTATTTTGTATTTATTTCTTCTTCTGGGTTGTCTGGAAGAGATTGCTATGTAGCAATAAGACCGCCCTTTGTATTTTCCTCAATAGTTGTTATTTTTTATTTTTGATGTTGTTATCTTTTCTTGGTGTACAATAAAGAGTATTGTATTGTATTATTGTATTGTATGTCTATTTCTTATATATAAGCCACAATTAGGCATTTTGTGACAAAAAAATTAAAATTTAATTATTAGGCATGGCATATTTATCCTTACGAACGAAAGTTACTTCATTATCAAGACAATTTTATGAAGATAAACTTCGTTCTTTATACCATGTTTATATAATACTTAGTTTAAGAGATAATGTAAAATAAAAATAATTCAATACTTGGCTTGACGCGCAAACAACGCATAACCCGGTGTGAACTGAGAAGCCAGTATTGAAAGCTTCTATGAGCGAGGTTAGGTTAGCCGTTAGTTCAATCGTTATCTATATCTACACAAATAAATAAAATTGAAGTGTCTGTTTGTAATGTCAAAATAACAGCTTTTTACTAATTGCGTATGAAATTGTATACGGTACTTATAACATTAACACAATTTTTAACATTTTTGTATATCTGTCAGTCTATTTGTTCCGGTTAATTTCCAAAACGGCTGGACCGATTTTGACGGGACTTTCACTAGTAGATAGCTCATGTTATAAGAAGTAACGTAGACTGCTTAAATTTTAGAAAAACTATTAGGTGTCCTTGCAACAAAATTAACGCCCTAAACTAAACGCGTACGAAGTCGTGGGGAACAGCTAGTAACTAAATTAAATTCAAAATTAATGTATAAAAATAATAAATAATACTTTTATCTATCTCCGGGGTGAGCGTAACAATGATTAGTTACATCTTTATTTCTGAACTCTTTCATTTCACGTTGCTACGGTATTTTGAAAGATTAATTGATTAATAAGTATAAGAGGTTGATAGCAAATTTATCAAGAATCATTTCTTGCCTACACACTTTTCATGTATCGTGTACGTTTTTCTTTAAAACTGGAAAAATCCGCGCATAATATGCCGACAGATAAAATAAAAGTACTCCATTAATTACGATAACTTTTCCATACATTACTATCAAATAAAATATTTGATTGCAATTATAAAATGCTTGAACTAGGTGTCATGTCATGCCACGCATCTCGGACACGCATAGATTATTAGGAGGTAATCTATACGGACACGTGATGACGCGGGTGAAACCGCGAAATTATTAGGCCCTGCTTTATCGCTTCATATTATACCTCTGTGGCTCTATATACCTAATATAGGTTGCTTATTTTATTATGTTTAGTTTTCTCCGAGTGGTCATGCAGCTATCACTCAAGAGTTCGGCTTCGAACGTGTGTAATTCGAAAATTATCCCACGGGAACGAAATACCTGAATAAACGGTATCATATATGTTATTTGACAGCTCCGTAGCGCAGTGGCTTAGCAATGAATTGTTGCACTGGGAGCCGCGGGTTCGAATCCCGCACGGAACAAGTATTTGTATGGCTTACAAATAATTGTTCCGGGTCTGGATGTTTGTAAAATGCCTCGACGATACAGGAGAAAATTCTAGTTTTAAAAAAAAATAATAATAAAATTCCAGACTATAACCTATCTCTGAGCAAAATATCATCCAGATCCCTTCAGCCGTTCTAGCGTGATTGAGTAACATACATCCATTAATCCTTCCATCCAAATATCCAAACTTTTGCATTTATAATATTTAGATAATAATTGTAATTAGTTCTGCCTACCTATAAATTGTTTTCAAAAATACTTACTTACCAGTCTTCTTACTTTTTTATATATACTCAATATCACTAAACATAAGCACAGGTTTTTATCAAGACAAGTGATCCATCAAGATTGTTTTCTTAGTACCGACGTACCTACCTAAAGTTTACAATTTTGTGGCTACAGCGCGACGACGTTTTGTGACATTTTGTTGTATTGTAGGTTGTAGGTATCTAGGTAATAACAATAGGTACCTATGAAAATCCCACATAATATACCTTGTTTGTCCGCTGCAAAAGTAGTCTAATAAATAATTAAACTGTTTTGTAATTCTTTATTTATTTATAACGCTTGCATGGGAGCAAACGGGTCCGATCCCCGTCGGCACCAATGAAATTGTTGCAATTTTATATAGTAATCGAATATAGACTACTTTTTTTTACTTTTATAAATATATTATATTACAGACGAAAATTTTAAAATATTGTCTGTCGTCCAAAACGCATCATCTCTTTCAATTATATCAATTTCCATGCCGTCTTTTGTCTTTGGCGTCCAAATTAAAAAATAGCAAAACTTTTCGTTTCGAATAAAACTCGAATAAGCGCGCGTCACCGCCTGTGCATGTGTGTGTAAGCATCGTCCTCCCGCACCGCACCGGGGGAAACATTATTCAGTGAGATGCACGATAATTCATAGTAACATGCGCGCGTAAAAATATACGAAAAGGCCTTTGGAAGAAGGGGTTTTATGAAAAAATTTATTGAATTCTTCGATAATTGAGTTGTGTCGGTGCCGACTTTGTTTTGGAAATTTTACACTTCTTTTATTACTAATTTACGCCCAAAGTTGTGTTAAAATTGGCAATAAAAACTAATCTTTGGTAGCTCGTAACTTTTTAATAATATTTAATTTTACTATTCTGTTTCCGTACAGACAAATTTAATAATAAGACAAAACGATATCATGTTTAAAAGTAAAACCCGTACGAAATTTCTATGGAAATAATGTCGACTAGTGTCACCTTAAGAGGCAACAGGGAAGCTGAAACAGGAAATGGAAATTTGATAACAACTCAAAATTGTAAAACATTGCAGTTGCCAAGCATGGCAACAAGGGCTGTGGTGATGATTATGATTAATTGGGAACCGCTGCACTAGCGCTAATATTTTTTTTTTACGATACCACTATATCTACTACTGCCATGGTCCTACGTGTTAGTTTTTTCCTTAAATTAATTGCTGCCATAACTATGAATGTACTAAAATTACTGTATTATTTTATTTTTATTACATACAGCCCGAAATCCACTGCCGAACAAAATTAAAATCAGTTCAGTTGTTGAGGAGGAAATAGGGAAATCATATTATATATAACGTATTGCCCTGTTTTCTTCTCCATAACTATGTTTTCGTCAATTTTTCATAGGTGTAATCCTAACCTTGCTACAGTTGTCTTTCTCGGTTGTTCGCACATAGCAATAGATTTTTATAACCTATTCTCGAAATTTCATGCAGCCCACATATTCTTTTTTTTTTTATTTAGTCTTGCTTGCCAGAATATAAAATGACCGGATTTTTAATAGTTTTATATTTCTATTTGGTAACACTGATGGTGTGTGCAGTGCGGTGCACGCGGTGTTGCTCTCTGCAATGCGCAGCTTCGCGGAGGAGTTGTTGCGGAGTGGGCTGGCCGCCTCTATCGCACCGAACACTGTCCCAGGTTCGATGCCTCTTGTCTGGACCGAGTATGTACTCACTTTTTCAATTTTTTTTTTTTAGGTTTATATATAATTATATTAAGGTTGATAAATGAGCAAATAGCCCACCTGATGGTAAGTGGATTCTGTGGCTGATAGATATTTATCACCGATTAAGAATTAAAATTCATTGTTATCCATGAGGACTTAGATGAAAGGCCTCATTTCTAGTGAAAATGATTTTCGTTTCTCTACAATTACCACACGAAATACAGCAGTATTTCTTGCTATTTCACGCTTGTTAAATTTCGATTAAAAGTTGATTTGTTATCCAGTATGTTTTATTTCAGGGAAACCTTTAGATTTAAAAAAAAAGATAAACTTTCGTAGATGAAATTAATTTTATGGATTTTATTGCGTTTAATTTTAATTTCATCAATGTTTAAGGTTGTTCCCGCCACTATATCAGATTTAGTAGATCATAAATATTCGCAAAAGAATATCGATTCCTATCAAGAATGATTCGCGATATTATTGAAATTAAAAATATCCTAACTTTACGTGGTAAAGTTACGCTGCAGTTATATTATGGTTGTAGCGCGAATGGGTCGGCTGGACCGGGGTAGGATCTCGCTCTCATAGAATACCAGCGTAAAATAGTAGCTTAATAATGTTACTGTGTTTTGTAAGGTGAGTGTAGAGAACTGGCGAGTCTTTTTACTGAAAATAAGGCATTTCATCTTAGTCCTCATAGGTGATAACTTAACCGCATTTAGATTTTTAATCGAGGATAAATGTAGATGTTTATGGGCTATAGCATGTATTTATCATTAGATGAACTATATGCTTGTTTGCAACCCATATTCTATTAAAAAAAAATGGCGAATATGGATGGATGTTGCCATGTGCTTTGGATCCTATAATTAATAAAATGAAATTCGTACTCGTGTGTATCAGTGCAATATTTTAAGGTACTGTAAGCTTGTTCTGTGTAGATTAGATCAAAAATTAGTAGCTGGGCTAACTATGACATAGGGATGTCAAACATTTCAGTCCTCTTTGTGACCATTGGTGCTGTAAAGTACCCGAAACGTTGGGAATTAAAAGGTTAAAATTAAACTCGATAAAATGCGAAAAATTATTTTCACTTATTGTGTGTTATTTGCGTAAATATAAGAAATCATATATTATAGGGTACTTGTGGAGTTTCGCCGTTTAACGTTTCAAAGAAATCTCATTTCGAAATCATAGTACAGATTCAAAGTATTGACGTTTGGTAAAAGAGATTGTATATGAGTAGGTGAATACTGTGGTGACGTGTGCATGCGTGTTGCAGGCGTGCGCGCGTGCGTGCGGCGAGCGTGCGCGACCTGTGCGTCGCGCTGGGCGGGGCGTGCGGCGGGGCGTGCGGCGGGGCGTGCGGCGGGGCGGGCGGCGGCGCGGGCGGCGGGGCGGCGGGCGGCGCGGCGCGCCTGCAGCTGCTGGCGGCGCGCGGCCTCGCTTCGCTGCCGCACGCTGCACAACCGCTTTAATAAACCACGTACACCACCACTACTTGCTCACTTTTATTTTTAACACCTATTCTTTATATATATATATATAAAGAATAATGTAATGTAGGAAATTATATATATATATATATAATTTCCTACATTACATTATTGTTTTTCTTATTATATACTGTAAGTTCCTTCCTAAAAAAGTCAACCGCGTGCACATTTCAGAATAGAAAAGTGATAAATTGATTAATTTTAAACAAATAGTGTCTGTGTTCAGCGTATATGTCCAGACAAAAATGTATGGGCGGGCTATCGGAGCATCCACCTTACCGTAAGCCAGCTAGGTAAGTAATTCCATGAATGATGTTTTGCAAGGTGATCCCAATTTTAGTTACTTTTTTATTATTTAGTTTGTTTGAAACAATTTTTTCAATTTACGTGATATTTTGGCCTATCAAAATTAATTTCTTTTTTTTTTATAGGATAAGGATGACAAACGATCACACAGTCCACCTGATGGTAAGTGGTTGCTGCGGCCCATAGACATCTACATCTACCCACGTTTGCGAATCAAAATGCAGATGCGTTGTCACCCGTGAGGACTAAGATGGAATGCCTCATTTCCAGTAAAAAGGGCCTCCGGCCACCTGCACTCACCAAGCGAAACGCAGAGGTAAACCTCTACTTCACGCTGGTATTCTGTGAGGTCGTGGTACCACCCCGTTTTGAGCCGGCCCATCCGTGCGACAGCAAAAGCTGCCGCGTGGCTCTACCACTGTTAACTTAATATGATTAATTGGCACTAGTTCTACCCGTGTGTTAAATTAAATTCACCATTGTAGCGGCCACGTTATATGTAAACTGCCTCCATAGCACAGAAGAAAATCATAAATGTATAAGCTTACAAAAAATAAAAACAAAAACTCGAGTGGTAGCCGTTTACCTTTAATCGAAGTATAGGACAGCCCCCACTAAATGGAGTAACGACCTAGTAAGACGTGCAGCAGTCGAAGGATGGCAGCACGCCTTGGGAGAAGGATATGTAAGGCATTAAGTAGGACGTATATGGACGGTAACTACTATTACCCAAATAAATTGACTACATCTGGTAGATAAACAATATACACTTTTTTTTATAGGAGAGGGGGCAAACAAGTATGCGGCTCACCTGATAGTAGGTGACTACCGCCGCCCATAAACAACCGCAACACCAAGGGAATTGCAGATGAGTTGCCGGCCTTTTAAAAAGGAGTAGGCTCTTTTCTTGAAGGTCCCTAAATCGTATCGGTCCGGAAAAATCGCTGATGGTAATCGCTTCCACAAGGAAGCCGTACGAGGAAGAAAACATCTTCTAAATCGCACAGTGGTGGACCGTCAATCATCCAGATGGTGTGGATGGTATCGGGAGTTCTGCCGCGATGTGCGTTCGTGAAATTTGGCGGCTGGGATTAATCCGAACAATTCGTCAGAGCACTCCCCGTGGTAGATGCGAAAGAAAATGCAAAGGGATGCAACATCTCTTCGCAATGCCAATGAATCGAGCCGATCGGAAAGAACTCGGTCGTCGACGATTCGAGCCGCTCTGCGCTGGATGCGGTCAAGTAAAAGGAGCTGGCAGAGATGGGAACAGTATTCCATGTGAGGCCGAACCTGCGCCTTGTAAAGTTGCAGGCGGTGTGCCGGCATGAAATACTGTATCGCTCTGCTGAGCACGCCAAGCTTTTTAGAGGCCAATTTGGCCTTCTCTTCCAAGTGACCACGAAACTGCACGTTACTCGATATGTCGACTCCGGGGATTCCGATACTGTCTGAGGCAAGAACGGGAGTGCCTTGAAACTGAGGAGATACGACAAAGGGGTTCTTTTTAGCGGTTAACGCGCAAACTTGTGTCTTCTGAGGATTAAACTGGACTAAATTTAATCGCCCCCAATCCGAGACTTAGTTCAGCAAAGACTCGACTTCAGACAAAAGTTTGTTCCGGTACTCAGCGACGTTTTGCCGAGAAATATTGGCACGGCCGGTGTATAAAGCATCACCAGTGCTGTCATCCGCATAGCAATGAATGTTACCAGTTAGCAACATATAATTGATATGCAGAAGAAACAGCGTTGGTGATAGCACACAGCCTTGTGGAACACCAGCGTTAATAGGCTTGTAGTCGGAGCATGCACCGTCTACAAGGACCTTGATGCTCCGATCTGCAAGGAAGCAGGCGATCTAATTGCACAATTTCACAGGAAGCCCATAGGAAGGGAGCTTCGAAAGAAGCGCTTTGTGGCAAACCCGATCGAAGGCCTTCGCAATGTCCAAACTAACGGTCAACGCCTCCCCCATGGACTCTACTGCCTCCGCCCATCTATGGGTCAGGTAGACCAGAAGATCACCCAGCTGATCGACCCCGACGAAAACCGTATTGGCGGTCACTAATCAGCTGGTGATCCTCAAGGTACCGCATGAGCTGGCAGTTAATAATGGATTCCATTATTTTGGAGAACAAGGAGGTGATGGGGATAGGCCTATAGTTGGACAGGTCTGAGCGGTCGCCTTTTTTAGGGATCGGGTGGACAAAAGCTGTCTTCCATGAATTCGGGACTACGCCTTGGGAGAAGGAGTACCGGAAAAGACGCGTTAGGACCGGTGCCAACTCCGGAGCACACGTCCTCAGCACAATTGGGGGGATTCCGTCAGGCCCACTCGACTTCTGGATGTCCAGGGAGAGGAGTGCTTTGCGAACCGAGCGCTGTAAGAACAGCACATTCGGCATGGAGCACTCACACCGCGGGATGCTCGGCGGTGTTTTCCCCCCATCATCAAGAGTCGAGTTGGGACGCAAAAAGGGAGCCTAAAATGTCGGCTTTGTCTTTTGCGGCTTGGGCCAGTGAAGCGTCCACCCTGTGCAGAGATGGTAGTGATAGCTTAGAGAAATTCCCTTGGACAGCCTTGGCGAGAGACCAGAAAGCACGGGTTCCCGAAGGAAGGCGAACTAGTTTCTCACCTATTCTGCCTATGTGCTCTGACTTTGCCTTGGCAATAACTCTTTTGAATGACCTGGAGGCGAAGTTATACTTCTTTTTAAGTGTGCTGGTGTTTACATCCGGAGTCGCCGAAGCCGCAGCCCAGGCTTGATAACACTCCTGCTTACTGCGTAATGCAGTCTTACAGGAGCGACCAAACCAAGGCTGAGATCTGCCTCCGATGGATACCACAGATAATGGAATAAATAGTTCCATTCCCTGTAGAACCACATCAGTGACAGAGTCAGCAACAACGCTGAGATCATCCGGCGAGAAGCAAACCCGCCCCCATGGGTAGGATGCAAAGAAAGACCGCATTCCGTCCCAATCCGCCGACTTGTAATGCCAAACACGGCGGCAACCTGCAGAACGCAACCGCGAGGGTAGCGTGAGTGGCACCACACTCCGGATCAGACAATGGTCCGATGAGCCGAGAGGGGCATCGACGGAAACCTGATATCCGTCCGGATGAGAGGTCAGCAGAAGGTCCAACAGGGAAGGTGTATGATCCTCCACATCTGGAATCCGCGTAGACGGAGTAACCAGTTGTGGTCAGACTATATGCCAAAGCAAAGTCATAGACAGATGATCGGTTAAACGTGAACCGAGGCATTCGGCGTGGTGGGCGTTAAAATCGCCAAGGATCACGATCTCTGCAGATGGGACCTGTTGTAGCAAGGAATCTGTAGCCATTTGGACTTGGTCGATGAGTCTGTCTGTTTCGGCATTACCGCTATGGGACCTATAGAGGCACCCATAGACGCGCGGATGGTCGTCGCTGTCTACGCGTAGCCAAAGGATGGACAGGTCCGAACCTTCAATACTGCCGAGGCGTCGAGAACAGATGTCCTCTCTGACATACACGCAAACTCTAGCCCGAGGCACAAAGGAGTGCTCCAATTTGTACCCCGGGCAGGAGAGATACGAAGTATCAGCCGGAGAGGACACCTGCGTCTCGGTCAGAAAGAGCAAGGCCGGCTTTGCCGTCTCGAGATGGTAGTGGACGGCGTTTAGGTTCGAGTGAAGTCCCGTGACGCTAATGTGATGCGGATGCTATTAACTGGTAGAAGCTGTTGCTCATAAACAGATTTCTTCTTTCGTTTTCTCAAATAATATTCTTTCCCCTTATCAGTCGGTTCCGCCCTGGTCATTCTACTACTACTGATCTTCTCAAGGGGATGGAAAAATCAAAACTGACCATCCTCATCTTAATAGATTTTTCTAACGCATTTAATTCTATTGATTATGATATCTTGTTGGCCCTTCTTTCTCATTTGAATATCTCGTCTTCAGCTCAGGAATGGTTCTCATCATATCTTCGAGGGCGCCAACAGGCCGTGCGCACTGGACATATACTATCTGACTGGTGTGATGTGTCTACTGGCGTCCCTCAAGGCGGTATAGTCTCTCCTCTTCTGTTTTCAATTTTTATCAATCTCATCACATTAAATCTCAAGTGCTCTTACCATCTGTATGCTGATGATCTTCAGTTATATGTGCAACTGAAACCCTCAAACATCTCTAATGCTATCTTATTATTGAATGATGACTTGAAATACATCTCCGAAAGGTCCACTGTGTATGGCATAAACGTGAACCCATCAAGTGCCAAACAATAATTTTAGGTAGCCCACGATTATTATCGAAACTAGATATTCCCACCCTACCATCAATTATGTTTAAAAATAATGTCATACCATTCTCTCCTCATGTAAAGAACCTTGGTCTGTACGTTGACGGTTGCTTAACATGGAACAAACATATACAGGAGGTGAGTCGCAAAACTACTGGAACTTTGCGATCTCCATATCGATTAAAAAATTTTCTTCCCACCAATACCAAGACTTTACTTGTCCAGTCACTTATCTAACCGATTATTGATTATGTCGATGTGTGTTGCTCAGACCTGTCTCGACATCATCTTAATACATTGGATCGTCTACTTAACGACTGTATCAGATACATTTATGGTCTCCGTAAATACGACCATGTATCTTCTTTTCGTGCTCACCTAAATTGTCTGCCTATCCGTCAGCGCTCTGCTCTGCACCATTTTCACAATTCTGAACGATCCATGTGCTCCCGAGTATCTGACTGAAGTTGCTCACTCCTTTACACCGTACTGGTTATTTTTCTCAATCTTTCGCCCTCACGGCAATCAGACTCTGGAACGACGTCCCTCTTGACATTAAAAAAGCTTCCAACAAGTTTATTTTTAAAAATCAAGTCCGTAAGCATGTGAAAAATTGTTGCAAGTTTGAACTAACATAGCTTTTATTTTCATACACATATGTATATTTCATATTTGTTCTGACATAGATAATATTTACAAGTATTGTGTATATATGTAGTGTATGCGTGTATATGTGTATGTATGTATTTATATATGTATATATTGTGTGTATTTAAGTATATATGTCTATGTATGTGTGTATAAGTATATATAATTTTATTTCTTTTAGCGCTTTCTATTTTGATTACTGCTGCACCGCCTCTTGTTTGTATATCTCTGTTTAGCCTAATGGTTGACTGGGATCAACGCAACCATACCAAGGGGTCGCCTTGGTATGGTTGCTCAATTTGCCCCGAGTACTTATGTTTTTGAGCGGAATTTTGCCCCCCGCCCCCAGAATTCGCGGGGCAGCCTGAGCACCCACGCTCAGGAGTGGAATAACATGGTCGTGGATGCTCAGCGAGGGATTCTCCAGGGGTGCTGGTACCCTCCTGGGGTAGTCTCGTATAATTACGCTACTATATTGATGGGAGGGGGGGGATTGGGCTTCCGGCCACTACTTCACGCCGGTATTCAGTGAGGTCGTGGTACCAACCCGGCTCGAGCCGGCCCATACGTGCAACAGCAAAAACTGCCGTGTGGCTCCACCACCGTTAGCAAAAACTGCCGCGTGGCTCTACCACCGTTAAACACTAAACCTTGTCAATAGACTAAACGTAAGAACTTTTATTTTCACTTCTTTTTCTTCCGTTTCCGTTACCGTTACAGCCTATTAATGTCCACTGCTGAACATAGGCCTCCCCCATAGATTACATAATAGAGAGGATACCTGCCATACGCTCGCACTACGTACTCTCGCGGTTAGCAACAGCCATTTTTTATAATCTTGAGCTGTTATTGGGAAGACATTTATTATTTTAAAAGTGGTAGAGCCACGCGGCAGCTTTTTCTGTCGCACGGATGGGCCGGCTCGAACCGGGGTAGTATCACGACCTCACAGAAAACCAGCGTAAAGTAGAGGTTTACCTCTGCGTTTCGCTTGGTGAGTGCAGGTGGTCGGAGGCCCTTTTTACTGGAAATGAGGCATTCCATCTTAGTCCTCACGGGTGACAACGCATCTACATTTTGATCTGTACCAGAGGATAGAAGTAGATGTCTATGGGCCGCAGCAACCACTTTCCTTCAGGTGGACTGTGTGCTCGTTTGTCACCCTTATCCTATAAAAAAAAAGACGCTGCTGCCTATCTCCTGTTTTTGTTTCCTTCTGCCACCTCTTACGACATCCACGGGACGATATAGGGGCAGTCAATTCTTTAACGCCGGCACGACACGGCGTAAGACAATCCTACTCCAAATATAACGTGCAGTTGTCAGTTCCTTGGTCAAATATAAAAGTAGAATATTAAAGATAATTGGTTTATGACTAAAAAAAAATGTCGAATGCCTTTTTGGTCTAGTGGTCATAAATGAATACATGATTGTAAGCTGCTATTTTAAAAAAAAGTCCCGCTGGGTTTCTTGCTGGTTTTTCCCAGGACAGAGGTTTTTTTTCGAACCAGTGGTAATTATACAAAAGAGTGACTTTCAATAAGTATTTTTTATAATCTATATTGAATAAAAAAAGTTTCTGTTTCTGTTTAATGCGACTGATGATCGCCAGGTCCCGGGTCGGGCCAAAATCAGGTATTAAGTTTTTCTGACAAGAAATTTTCAGAAGCAGCCCGGAGTCAAGAAGTTGGCGGTGTTTCACCTCCGTGCCTCGAAAAGTACATAAAGCCGATATCTCTCTGAACGGGTCTGATTGGACTCTTAGAGTAAAGGAATAGAAAGTGCACTTGTGCTTGCGCACATTGCACTATAATTCTCTTCAGCACAAATGGCTAGTCTCGGTTGAGACTGGCCGCCGTGATCGAAATTTGGTTTGGAGTATATTAGTAAAAAAATAGCTATAATGGTTATACTTATTTTTATTAAATTTATTATATTAAAACAATCTATGAGACAAAATAGATGGTCTATGAAACGTTCGAAGAGACCTAAGCTAATCTACATATTTGTACATGTCCCTGTGCGGAGCCCGTCCCGTTATATAGTGTTCTGGAAGATCTGGAACAAAGTTACTTCTTTTAATATTTTTTATAGGATCAGGTGAGAAACGAGAAAAAAGTCTACCTGATAGTAAGTGGATGCTGTGGCTCATAGACATCTACATCTATGCTAGATTAAGAATCAAAATGCAGATGTGTTGTCACCCCTGAGGATTAAGATGGTGTGCCTCGTTTTCATTACAAAGGGTCACCGGTTTTCTACACTCACGAAACATAACGACATTAAGCTGTTTGATTTTGTATTCTTTGAGAGTGTGGTCCTCTCCACGTTAGAGCTGATTCATTTGTGCTACAATCATAATTTAGCTTCATCATGGCTCTAACACGTATAAAATGAAAAGTAGTTTTTTATGTGCATAGAGATACAGACGAGAGAAGGGCACTTTTTTTTTTATAGAATAGGGGTCAAACGAGCATGCGGCTCACCTGATGGTAAGTGACTACCGCCGCCCATGAACAACCGCAACACCAGGGGAATTGCAGATGCGTTGCCGGCCTTTTAGAAAGGTGTAAGCTCTTTTCTTGAAGGTTCCTAAGTCGTATCGGTCCGGAAAATTAGCTGGTGGTAATTCATTCCACAAGGAAGTTGTGCGAGAATGAAAACTTCTAAATCGCACAGTGGTGGACCGCCAATCATCCAGATGGTATGGATGGTAATGCGAGTTTTGTCGCAATGTGCGATGGTGAAATTGAGCGGCTGGAATTAGTCCGAACAATTCCTCAGAGCACTCCCCGTGATAAATGCGATAAAATACGCAAAGAGATGAAACATCTCTACGCAGTGTCAGTGTATCGAGCCGATCAGAAAGAACTCGGTCTTCGACGATTCGAACTGCTCTGCGCTGGATGCGGTATAGTGGAAGGAGCTGGCACTGGGGTGCCCTGGCCCAGAGATGAGAACAGTATTCCATGTGGGGCCGAACTTGCGCTTTGTAAAGTTGCAAGCGATGTGCCGGCGTGAAATACCGTCTCGCTCTACTGAGCACGCCAAGCTTTTTAGAGGCCAATTTGGCCTTCCCTTCCAAGTGACTACGAAACTGCACACTATTCGATATGTCGACGCCAAGGATTCCGATACTGGCTGAGGCAGCAAGGGGAGTGCCTTGATACTGAGGAGATACGACAAAGGGGTTCTTTTTAGCGGTAAACGCGCAAACTTGTGTCTTCTGGGGATTGAACTGGAATAGATTTAGTCGGCCCCAATCCGAGACTTTGTTAAGCAAAGACTCGACTTCAGACACAAGTTTGTCCCGGTACTCGGCGACGTTTTCCCGAGAAATATTGGCACGGCCAGTGTATAAGGCATCACCCGTGCTATCGTCTGCATAGCAATGAATGCTACCAGTTAGCAACATGTCATTGATATGCAGGAGAAACAGCGCTCCTTCATATGTTAATGTTTTTCTACCATAGGACGTTATAGTTTTAGGTAGGACAAGAAAGCTGACTCTACTCGTTGTTCGTTGTCTGAGGTGTTTTGCTTTTGTGAAAGTGATACTGGAATGAATGTTTTTGTCAATAATTTTCCGGATTAAAACACATGAGTGGTAAATGTATAACTGTTGTATGGTCATAGTTTTTGTTTCACTATAGATTTTTGAGGTGGATGTTCGAAAATGTGGAACAACAGCGTTGATAGGCTTGAAATCAGAGCATGCACCGTCTACTACGACCTTAATGCCCCGATCAGCAAGGAAGCTGGTGATCCAATTGCACAATTTCTCGGGAAGCCGATAGGAAGGGAGCTTCGAAAGAAGCGCTTTGTGCCAAACCCGATCGAAGGCCTTCGCAATGTCCAAACTAACGGCCAACGCCTCCCCCTTGGACTCTACTGCCTCCGCCCATCTATGGGTCAGGTAGACCAGAAGATCACCAGCTGATCGACCCCGACGAAAACCGTATTGGCGGTCACTAATCAGCTGGTGATCCTCAAGGTACCTCATGAGCTGGCATTTTATAATGGATTCCATTATTTTGGAGAACAAGGAAGTGATGGCAATAGGCCTGTAGTTGGACAGGTCTGAGCATCGCCTTTTTTAGGGATCGGGTGGACCAAAGCTGTCTTCCATGAATTCGGGACTACGCCTTGGGAGTAGGAGTACCGGAAAAGACGCGTTAAAACCGGTGCCAACTCCGGAGCACACGTCTTCAGCACAATGGGAGGGACTCCATCGGGCCCACTCGACTTGCTGACGTCCAGGGAGAAGAGTGCTTTGCGAACCGAGCGCTGTGTAAACCGCACATCCGGCATGGAGCACTCACATCGCGGGATGGTCGGCGGTGTGTTCCCCCCGTCATCTGGAGTCGAGTTGGACGCAAAGAGAGAGCTCAACAGATTGGCTTTCTCCTTTGCGACATGGGCCAGTGAGTCGTCCTCTCTGTGCAGAGATGGAAGCCTTGGCGAGAGACCAGAATGCACGGGTTCCCGAAGGAAGGCGAACTAGATTCTCGCCAATTCTGCCGATGTGCTCAGACCTTGCCTTGGCAATGAAGCTTTTGAAGGACCTGGAGGCGGAATTATACTTCTTTTCAAGTGCGCTGGTGTTTACATCCCGAGACGTTGATGCGTCAGCCCAGGCCCGGTAGCACTCCTGCTTATAGCGTGATGCTATTTTACAGGAGCGACCAAACCATGGCTGGGATCTGCCTCCGATGGGCACCACAGAGGATGGAATAAAAAGTTCCATACTCTGAAGTACCACATCAGCAACAGAATCGGCAGCAACGCTGGGATCTTCCGGCGAGAAACAAACCGGCCCCCAAGGGTAGGATGCAAAAAAAGACCGCATCCCGTCCCAATCAGCTGACCTATAGTGCCAAACACGGCGGCAAGCTGCAGATCGCAACTGCGATTGGACCGTGAGTGGCACCGTACTCCGGATCAGACAATGGTCCGAAGAGCCCAGAGGAGCATCGACGGAGACCTGATATCCGTCCGGATGAGAGGTCAGCAGAAGGTACAACAGGGAAGGTACATGGTCTTCCACATCTGGGATCCGCGTAGGCGAAGTAACCAGTTGTGGTAGACCATATGTTAAAGCAAAGTCATAGACAGATCTACCCGCATGATCGGTTAAATGAGAACCAAGCCATTCAGCGTGGTGGGCGTTGAAATCACCGAGTATCACGATCTCTGCGGATGGGACCTGTTGTAGCACGGAGTTTGCTGCCATTTGGATGTGGTCGATGAGTCGGTCTGTGTTGGCATTACCGCTATGGGATCTATAGAGGCACCCGTAGACGCGGGGATGGTCGTCGCTGTCTACACGCAGCCATAGGATGGACAGGTCCGTACCTTCAAGACTGCCGAGGCGTCGAAAACAGATGCCCTCCCTGACGTATACGCAAACTCCAGCCCGGGGCACAAAGGAATGTTCCAATTTGTACCCCGGGTAGGAGAGATATGAAGTATCAACCGGAGAGGACACCTGAGTCTAGGTTAAAAAGAGCAAGGCCGGCTTTGCCGTCTCTAGATGGTAAAGGACAGCGTTAAGGTTGGAATGAAGTCCCCTGATGTTGCAAAAATTCACGGATAGCGCGACAGGGCTCGCTTTGGTTGTATTGCTCCGCTTGCCCCGAGCAGCGTTAGTCGCGAGCGGAATTTTGTCCCCCCTCCCCCCTAGAATATGCGGGGCAGCCTGAACACCCACGCGCAGGAGTGAAGTAGTTTGGTCGTGGATGCTCAGCGAGGAATTCTCCAGGGGTGCTGGTCTTTTATTTAATTCCACTACCATTTTGATGGGAGGAGGGGGGGGAGGAGGGAATTGGGCCTCCGGCCACCTGCACTCACCAAGCGCAACGCAGAGGTAAACTTCTACTTCACGCGGGTATTCTGTGAGGTCGTGGTACCACCCCGGTTCGAGCTGGCTCATCCGTGCGACAGCAAAAGCTACCGCTTGGCTCTACCACTATTAAAACTTTTAGAAAAGACGAAAATGTGTGGGCGTGATCATTAAAAAAGAAACCAATTCGTCAAGTATTTCAAAATTAATTATTTTTAATTTAAATTTACCTTTTTAATAGCTTTGATAATATTTTGATTAAAAAGAAATATGTTTGTTTTTCTTAGGACGGCATTTCAATCAATTAGAATTGATGTTTTCAAGATCGCTTTGACGTTTTTATTATTATTGGAACAACGTTTGTCGGTCCTCAGGGGTGACAACGAATCTGCATTTGGATTCTTAATCGTGGATAGATGTACCTGGATGTCTATTAGTTACAGCATTTACTTACCATTATGTGGGCTGTGTGCTCGATTGTCACCTTTCTTCTATAAAAAGTTAATTTAAGATTTAAAGTTCTTTATTACAGTCTGTTCTTTATTAAACTTAAATTAAAATTGTTTATCGTTTTTAAATAATGAAGCATTTAATAGCCGTATATCGGCGGTGAGCAGTGCGAGTACCCGTGGTCTATGCGGGCGCGGGGGCGGGCGTGGCGGAGCGCAGGGCGGCGGCGGGGGCGGAGGCGGGGGCGGGGGTCGGCTCCGCCTTGCTTCTGTTCTGGCGCTCGCGCTTCAGCTTCTCGCCGCCCATGATGGCCTTGATATCGTCCGCGTCCAGCGTCTCGTATCTGCAACACACCTTGTTATTACCTACTCTATCCCTACATCAGATACAATGAAAGAAGAAGGAAATAAAATGCACTGATTTGCCAGAAATAGGCGTACATATAAATTTAATTGAAAATTTACTAGATAAATATAATAAAAAATATTCTAATTTATCGAAGTAAATTAATTAATTGTCTTTATTGTGTTTTGTATGTTTTATATGTATTGAATTGCTCAGTCAGTATTATCAGTCTGATAGCTTTTACTAAATATTACTTCGGTTCGAATAAAGACCTGAGTTAGCCTCAAGCCGCACCAATAAACACTTCCATGTATACTTACTACTAGACGGACTCTGCAGCCTACAACCAGTAATTGTCATAAATAAAAATACATCTACGTAGGATATTTCTTAATACAGTTGCTCAAAAAGTGGCGTATTGCAGCGACGTATATCGTTCGGGATGCGGGCTATTACATCATCATCATCATTACAGCCCTTCACAAGTCCACTGCTGAACATAGGCCATATCCAAAGGAATGCCACAAAGCACGGTCCTGAGCCACCTGCATCCATCGACTTCCTGCGTGTCTCACCAAGTCGTCACTCCATCTAGTGGGGGTCGCCCTACACTTCGCCTACCGGTACGAGGCTGCCACTCGAAAACCTTTCTTCCCCATCGGTTGTCGGTTCTTCGAGCTATATGGCCGGGCCACTGCCACTTCAGCTTACTAATCCGTTGGCCTATGTCGCTTACTCTGGTTCTACTGCGGATATCCTCATTTTTAAGTTTATCACGCAGAGACACCCCGAGCATAGCCCTCTCCATAGCTCACTGAGCGACCTTGAGCTTCCTCATACGGCTAGCACTATTACATACTCGTGCTTTTTCTTTACCTTTTCTGAACTCGTTCGTTTTCTTTCCCAACTGTCAAAATAATGTCTATTGAAAAGAAAAAAACAACCACGAAGTTTTTACTAAAAAAAAAAATCATAGAAGTTTTTATGATTCATGCAAATATTTCTAAAAAGAAGCTACTAACTTGTTTCAATATCAGATTTAATGATTTGATTCAATGAGTTAGGTTAGGTTTCATTTCATTTCATTAAATTTATTTTTCATTTCATATCAATAAAAAAAATTCTACTGAAGACTTGGCTGTAGGGGTATAGTTCCCTTTGCCTACCCAGAATGGGTGAAGAAAACAAAAAATCTCTGCTTATATTCTTTTACGGTTGGCGCCATTTTTCAAAAATGTTCTTTATTAAATTGCTTCATTTTTTCGCAACTGTATTAAAAATAGTTGTTCAGTACACGTGCGGAACCGTCATTGCAAATTGTTCCGAATGTCAACCGGAATGACAGGCTTTCCGTACTCGTAATGAAATATACTATATCGTGCGCGTTCCACAACTGTGATACAGTTTTTGTTCTGATTTTCCGGTCTAGTGGCATAAATAAAACTTTTTGCGCAACCAATAAAGTAGGTTTGGGTAAAAATTATCGAAATATCGATATTTCTTATAAATTCAGTATATATCATCGATATTTTTAATTGCGATATATCAATGTTCGATACTTATTTTAGTGTTGAATTTGTAATTTAGCTACTCATCTAAAAGCTAAACATCATTTTGTTTATTTGCAAATGATAATAATTTAAAATTAAAAAATTTCTGCCGACTTCCAAAAAGGAGAAGGTACTCAATTCTTCTTTTTTTATTTGAAAGCTGGTACTTCTCGTATAATCCCATATGACTTTGATCAAGGTCAGACCAATAGTTTTTGAGTTATTCTTAATAACTTATAATGAAGTCTGCTGTACAAATTTTTTATTTTTCAATTATGTACAACCGACTTGAATTTAAATTATTAAGAATAACTCCAAAACTATTAGTCAGATCTCAATCAAATTTATATGGGACCACATGTGAAGTACCAGCTTTCAGCAAGAATCATCGAAATCGATTCACCCGGTAAAAAGTTATGAGGTAACACACATAAAAAAACAAACAGTCGAAATGAGTACCGGCTCCTTTTTGAAGTCTGTAGAAAATGAGAGTTTATCGCAAACAACTAAATCGATCACTCGATAATTATCGATACTGTTTAAAAATGTCGATTTTTCTCACTTGCCCATCCCTACAATAGAGTCTTGCTTTAAACAATAAACTTACTTAAGCAAAGCGTCGGACAGCGCTTTGTGCTCTTTGGCATGGGCGCGCAGTATGGCTTTCGCCCGCTCGTAGCTCTCCGCTAGTATCTTCTTAATTTCACCGTCCACCTAGAATTTAAAAAAAAATATCACCTGGTGCATTGACGAAAAGGTCAATGATAATGTGTACTTCCTGCCGAATACCAATGTGCTGTTAAATGGGGAGGAGTTGAGTCTTGTTAATACCACTGTTTTTCTCGGTATTAATATTGACGCGAAACTTCAATGGGGCCCCATATATCTAAATTAGCAAGCAAACTTAGTTCTGCAGAATATTATGTAAAAAAGATTAGAAGTCTCACCAAAGTTTGAGACAGCTAGATTAGTTTATTTTAGTTACTTTCATAGCGTGATGTCTTTTAGAAATTTGCTATAGGGTAATGCGACTGATATTGAAGCTATATTTGTTTTGCAAAAAAGCCGTACGGGCGATTTATAACCTAAATTGTAAAGAGTCCCTCAGAGAAAAATTTAAAGAAATAAACATATTAACTTTGGCATCGCAATATATTTATGAGAATGTAATGTATGTGCATAAAAACATAAATAGCTTTAATAAGAATAAGGATGTGCATACTTTAAATACTAGGAACAAACATAAGATTGTAATACCAGTTACTGGACTCCAAAGAATCAGTAATTCATTTATGGGACAATGTATACGCTTTTGACCTTACGACCATGGTAACGGCGGGGCAGGGGGTGCTAAGAATCTCCGGTGGAGGTTCGGTTGCCACCTTAGACGACTCGACCTGGCAACGTACAACGCTCGCACCCTGAGGACTGACGAGAAGATTGTGGAGCTGGAAGAAGAGATAGACAAGTTGCGCTGGCATATTATAGGACTATCCGAAGTCCGAAGAGAGAGGGAGGACACGGTAATCCTCGAATCCGGCAACTTGCTCTATCACCGAGAGGGCGACCATCTGTCCCAAGGAGGTGTCGGATTTATCGTCCACAAGTCTCTCGTTAACAACGTTGTAAAGATCGGGAGTGTGTCGACGAGGGTTGCGTACCTTATACTCAGAATCACCAAACGGTATTCGCTGCAAGGTCATACAGGTTTACGCACCAACCTCGGCACACCCTGATGAGGAGGTGGAGGAAATGTATGAGGATATCTCTAGAGCCATGCATTCCTCCAAAACCCAATATACGGTGTTAATGGGAGACTTCAACTCAAAACTAGGCACAAGAGAGAACGGTGAGCTGAAAGTAGGGAAATTTGGAATAGGGCAACGGAACCCAAGGGGCCAGCAGCTGGCCGACTTCATGGAGAAAGAGGGACTCTTTATGATGAACTCTTTCTTCCAGAAGCGGCCCCACAGGAAGTGGACCTGGTCGAGCCCCGACGGTTCGACAAAAAATGAGATTGACTTCATTATGACGACCAGACGACAACTGTTCAGTGATGTCTCCGTGATCGCGAGGGTGAAAACTGGTAGCGATCACCGAATGGTTAGAGGCACACTGAACCTAAACGTTAAGTTGGAGAGGTCTCGTCTAATGAAGTCAACGCTCCGTCCCTCTCGTGCTTTGTTCCAAAGTCCCGAAACCTTTCAGCTCGAGTTACAAAACCGTTTTCAGTGCCTAGAATCCAGGCGAGGATGGAATTACAGCGGAGCTTCTGAAAGCGGGTGGAAAACCGGTACTTGAAGTCCTTCAGAAGCTCTTTAATTCCGTCCTCCATGGTGGCATTACACCGGAGGCGTGGAGCAGAAGTGCGGTGGTCTTGTTCTTCAAGAAAGGTGACAACGCTCTCTTGAAGAACTACAGACCGATTTCCCTTCTGAGCCGCGTCTACGTGCTGTTTTCGAGAGTCATTACGAATCGTCTCGCGCGCAGATTTGACGACTTCCAGCCTCCCGAACAAGCCGGTTTCCGAAAGGGCTTTAGCACCATAGACCACATACATACCCTTCGGCAAATTGTACAGAAGTCCGAAGAGTACAATTTGCTACTATGTTTGGCGTATGTGGACTATGAGAAAGCCTTTGATTCTGTCGAAATTTGGGCGGTGCTGCAGTCCCTTCAGCGGTGCCAAGTTGACTGTCGGTATATCGAAGTGTTGAAGTAGGGCTACGATGGCTATCCGAGTACAGAACCAGAGTACGAAACCTATCCAATTGCAGAGAGGTGTAAGACAGGGTGACGTCATATCCCCGTAACTCTTCACCGCTGCATTGGAAGACGTTTTCAAGCTTCTGGACTGGAAAGGATACGGTATCAACATCAATGGCGAGTACATCACTCACCTTCGATTTGCCGACGATATAGTCCTTATGGCAGAATCGCTGGAGGACCTACGCACTATGCTCAATGTCCTCAATAGTGTTTCCCAACGGATAGGTCTTAAGATGAACATGGACAAAACAAAGATCATGTTTAATGTCCATGTCACACCTATGCCGGTAGTTGTTGGGAACACTAAGCTCGAAGTTGTTGACGAGTATGTTTACCTGGGACAAATAGTCCGACTAGGTAAGTCCAACTTCGACCGAGAGGTCAATCGACGGATTCAACTCGGCTGGGCAGCGTTCGGGAAGCTAAGACACATCTTCTCGTCAGACATACCTCAAAACCTTAAAACGAAATTGTACAACCAGTGCGTGTTGCCAGTGATGACTTACGGAACTGAGACGTGGTCCTTCACTGCTGGCCGGATGAGAAAGCTCAAGGTCGCTCAGCGAGCTATGGAGAGGGCTATGCTCGGAGTTTCTCTGCGTGATAAACTTAGGAATGAGGATATCCGAAGTAGAACCAGAGTAACCGACATAGCCCAACGGATTAGTAAGCTGAAGTGGCAGTGGGCCGGCCATATAGCTCGAAGAACCGACAACCGATGGGGAAGTAAGGTTCTCGAGTGGCGGCCTCGTACCGGTAGGCGAAGTGTAGGGCGTCCCGCCAAGAGATGGAGTGACGACCTGGTAAGACATGCAGGAAGTCGATGGATGCAGGTGGCTCAGGACCGTGCTTTGTGGCATTCTTTGGGGGAGGCCTATGTTCAGCAGTGGACTTGTGAAGGGCTGTAATGATGATGATGATGTATACGCTTTTACCACAAAATCCCAGAACATATTCAGTTTGTCAATAAACAAGTTTAAAAGTTTTATTTAAGAAAGACTGTACAAAAAGGGTTATTATAATATCAAGGAATACATGAATGAAAATAACCCCCGAGAATAAGGTGATCGCAACCATGCTGGTTCTATGACAAATCATTTAAAATTGTATAAACGAAATTATTGTTAAGTAAAATATGTTTAAAAAAAAAAGTCCCGCTGGGTTTCTTGCTAGTTCTTCCCAGGACAGAAGTATTTTCCGAACCAGTGGTAAATAAAAAATGACTTACAATAAGAATTATGTAATAATCAATATTGAATAAAAAATTTAAAAAAAATAACCACTGTGACACATCATTGAAAACTATAAATTACATAAGAAATCATAGGTGTTACAAAAGTTAAATATTTTATACGGAATTGATTTTTACAAAGTACTATTTGAAAGTCAAACGCTACGCCTTCGCTACAACAAGACCCTACTACAGGAAGACCTTGGGAGAAAACGCGGCTAGAACCTCATAAGTAGATTATTTTTTTTCCCAATAGTTACAATTTATCGTTATAAAATACATACATAAATAACAAAGAAGTCAGAAGAAACTCATTATGTCCACATATTCTTACCATTTTAAGTACCCAGTCATCTAATTTATAATATGTTTTTTTTTTAATAATAATGCTTTTTACATGCTCTTTGAATTTATGCCAAGGCAAATCAGTAAATTTACAGGGAATCTTTGTTATAAACACTCAACACACACTTGGGGGAGCCGTATGTTTCAGAAGCAGGTTTGTGATGTGTTGTAGTGATAATGATGAAGCCCTAAGATGTAGATCAAACAAAGAGTGCGTACGATCTCGTTGGTGGCGGGGCCGAGCGTCTCGGACTGGGCGAGCGGCCCACGCGTGGGCTCCATGGTGCGCAGGCCCACCTTGTCGCTCATGCCCCACTCGCGCACCATGTGGCACGCGATCGACGTCGCCTGCTTCAGGTCTGACGATGCGCCTGCAAACAACACGCTACTTGTATATCAACACATACATTAACGTATATAAACATAAACACCTGTGCCTGTCACCCAGAGACACTGATGTAGACTGAGACTACGGACTTCCATTGGTCACGATCCTGAGACACCTCTCTCGCCTCCTTTACATCCATACTTGACCAGCACCTGCGGGCCCAGAGCCCACAAAAATATGAAATATAGATATTGGAAAATTATTACTTGTATTTTAATTCTACACTCCTCAAAAAAGAATAACCCAGCAACATGTGAGTATAAAAAACAAGTCTCCTAGAACCACAAGTATTAAGAAACAATGAACTAAAAAAATGGATTTTTATCTAAGCAAATACTATGTCCGGCACGCCAAAGTCGTCTATGGTTGACCGCTAGTGTCGAACGCGGGAGGCATAGATTTCTTGAAAACTATACAAAATTAAGCTCAAACGTGTTATTTTTTTTTTCTATTATTATTGATATTTGAATAAAACAAAAGGTTAGAAACAAAACTATAATTAGCTACATGAATAAAAAAATGTTATCAAATCATCTTCGCATAATAAATCTAATATATCAACTCTGGCGCATCCTTAGCGCGTCATCGTAAATCAGTTCACTGGGCGCCGTGGTCAAGGATAGACGACACCCTGATGACGTCATAAGTGATTAGCGGGAAAAGTAGTGCAGTGCAACATGAACGATTCTGACTGATTTACCTAGTGCGAATAATTATATACAATTGTTGATTACTGAATAATTATGTACCTTATTTTTATTTTAATATAAAATTACAAACAATAAATGTGTTTTTGACGTGATAACGTCTTCTAATTCGATGAAGCTGGCTGCACGCACGAAAAAACATAACTCATGCGGCGTTACCTCGCTCTGAGGCGTTCCATTTAAGGCTTGAAGTGCAAGCGAGAGCGCAGAACGAGCGACAAAGAGGCACAATCGGCCTCCGCGTTCGGCAGCGTTCGACATTTGTCTCTCTC